CAACCTGGCCCACATGGTGAAATCTCGTCTCTACTAAAAATACAAAAAACATTAGCCAGGCCTGGTGGTGTACACCTGTAATGCCAGCTACTTGGGAGGCTGAGGCAGGAGAATCCCTTGAACTCAGGAGGCAGAGGCTGCAGGGAGCCACACTGAGATTGTGGGTGACAGAGTGAGACTATCTCCAAAAAAAAAAAAATTAATTAAATTCAAGGAGTTGAAGACATGTACATTCATGAATTCACGCATTTATTTGATAGGTATTAACTGAGTCCTACTATGGTCAAGAAAGTATGTTCCTAAGAACAGACAAGAAAAACATGTCCTTGGTTTCCTGGAGCTTCAAAGTTAGGCAAAAAGAGATGGGCATTATACAAGGAACTGCACAAATGATTAATCATAACTGTAACAGAACAAGCTGCTGAAGGACACCTAACAGAGGCTCAAGTTCCTCTGGGATGGGGCCAGGGATCTGGGGAAGGGTTCCTTTAGGGAATCTATATTTGAGAATGAAAAATGAGTACGACTTTAACAGAAAGAACAAAACAGGTACGTATTAGTCCATTTTCACATTGCTGATAAAGATGTACCCAAGACTGGGCAATTGACAAAAGAAAGATGCTTATTGGACCGACAGCTCCCCATGGCTGGGGAGGCCTCACAACCATGGTGGAAAATGAAAGGCATGTCTTCCATGGCAGCAGGCAAGAGAAAAGAGCTTGTCAGGGAAACTCCCATTTCGAAAGCCATCAGATCTCCTGAGACTTTCTCACTATCACCAGAAAACAGCATGGGAAAGACCTGCCCCTATGATTCAGTTATCTCCCACGGGGTCCCTCCCACAACATGTGGGAATTCTGGGAGTCACAAGATGAGATGTGGGTGAGGACACAGAGCCAAACCATATCAAGGTACAAAGGATGTTAGAGAAGCATAACAATTGCACCTTGTGGTACAGCAAGGAAGGGTGTGGAAGGAGACACTGCACAGGGAAGCACGTGAAAAATCTCCCCAGGCCGAGGGTGTCCAGGAAGGATGTGGCGGCTTGATTGTACCCTAGAGTCCAAACAATAAGATTTTTTTCAATGGCAGTGCTAGGTTAAAAAATCCACATTCATTTCACCTCCTCCTAAACTCTAACCAAAACTACAGTCCAGACACTAAAAAAAAAAAAAAAAGACACAAACCCACTCAGCACACAAAGGTAAGGAAGCAAAAAAGCTGATGAAGAAGTGAGTAATTCAACACATTCAGCAAAGCCAAATCCCAGGCCTTCAGCAGAAAAGCTGAGTGCCAACACAGTGACTCCTGCCGAAGCCCGGAAAGGCTCCGAAACGAGTCCCACCAGATATCCAAAATGGGGGTCGACAGGAGCTTAGGATGTAAGCGTGGGGAGGCAGCTGGGAAGCAGAGCAGTGAGACCCTACACAGCCTCCCTGAGCCCTGTCTCAGCCTTCTCTGAAGAGGCTGGGGCAGGAACCAACAGTACACGCCAACACCCCAGCCCTCCTCTCTCCACGTGACCCCTGAAACACTGGCAGTCAGACCTGGAGTCCCAAGTGGGAGACTGGGAGACTGAAAAACTCTCCCTGGGAAACCAGCCAGAGAGGAAAAACTAGAGGACAAGAAGTGGCTCACATGTCATCCTCCAGGGGCTGACCACTACATTCTAATCACCCCCTACACCTTCTTTCCTTTTGAGACAGAGTCTTGCTCTATTGTCCAGGCTGGAGTGCCGTGATCCAATATCAGCTCATTGCAACCTCTGCCTCCCAGGATCAAGCAATGCTTCTACCTCAGCCTCCTAAGTAACTGGGATTACAGGTGCATGTCACCATGCCCAGATAATTTGTTTGTATTTTTAATAGAGACAGGGTTTCACCATGTGGCCAGGCTGCTCTCGAACTCCTGACCTCAAATGATCTGCCCACCTTGGCCTCCCTAAGTGCTACGATTACAGGTGTGGGCCACCACACCCCAGCCAAAACCTCTGATTCTGAGACAAATGACAGCTCACCTAAAATTCTACACACACACAAATTATCAATTAAGTACGCTGATACGATAGACATTTTCAGCCACTTTTAGTGAGAAAATGTAGACAGCATTTTATCATCTTTGCAACCTAAGGACAGGATGCCGAAGTGAGCCAGCCAAGATTGTTAACAATATTCAGCTTATTTTGACTACATTAAAGAGGTTCCTGAGTCCTACTCCTGGCCCAGCTGCCTGGACAAGATGAGAACATTCATTTCACTGCAAAGAAACACTCAATTTCAGCCTGCTCCTGAGAACTAAGCTGTAAAATCAGAAAACATGAACCAACCGACCCCTGTCCACCTTTCTAAGGCATGTGACCTCCAGTTCATGTTACATCTTCAGCAGAAGCAACTCCGGTAACCCCTCACCCTCTTAAGATTCGCTCACAGACCAGGTGCAGTTGCTCACACCAGTAATCTCTGCACTTTAGGAAGCTGAGACAGGAGGATCACTGGAGCCCAGGAGTTTGAGACCAGCCTGGGTAACACAGTGAGACTCTATCTGTACAAAAAAAAAAAAAAAAAAAAAAAAAAAAAAAAAAAAAAAAAAAAAAAAAAAAAAAAAAAAACTAAAAATTAGCTGATACGGTTTGGCTGTGTCCCCACCCAAATCTCATTTTGAATTACAGTTTCCCTAATTCCCACTGTCGTGGCAGAAACCCGGTGGGATGTAATTGAATCATGGGGGCAGCTTCCCCATGCTCTTCTCCTGATAGTGAGTATGCTCTCGAGAGATCTGATGGTTTTACCAGGGGCTTCCCCCTTCACCCAGCTCTTACTCTCCTTCCTGCCGCCATGTGAAAAATGACGTGCTTACCTCCCCTTTTGACATGATTGTAAGTTTCCTGAGGCCTCCTCAGCCTTGCTGAACTGTGAGTCAATTGAATCTCTTTCCTTTATAAATGATCCAGTCTCAGGTACGTCTTCATTAGCAGCATGAGAACAAACTAATACATTAGCTGGGTGTGCTGGGGTATGCCTGTGGTTCTAGCTACTTGGGAGGCTGAGGCGGGAGGGGTGCTTGAAACTGGGAGTTTGATGCTTCTGTGAGGTACCATCACCCTACTACATTCCAACCTGGGTGACTGAGTGACACCCTTTCTCCAAAAACCAAACAAACAAAAAAGATTAGCTCACAACTTTACCTACTGAATCCTCTCATCGACTCTGAGGAAAAGCCAGTTTGGTGCCCAAATCACATCCAGCTTTCTTCCCTCTTCAGAGTAGGGAAAGGGCCCTCTCTGAACAAAGAGGACAGTGCCCACTTCCCATCCTGCCAACTGGAATTGGCATCCTGCTTAGGAAGGCATACCTGGGCAGGGTTCGCACAGCACTGAGGCCCCGGGTGCTCCAGCCCCACAGGAAGGCAGGCCTGGGGCTGCAGAGAGGGCTTCGCTGCTCTGGCAGCTCTGGGGCTTAGACTGGAGGATGGACATCTGTCATTTTTCACTGGCTCACTCCTTGAACTCCTCACATGTATGTATAAGGTACTTCAAAATAAAATCTATTTTTTCAAGGGTGAAGGATGTGATTGGATTTGATCCACATTCAAATACGACTGAGGCCACGGTGAAGAAAAAGGGGACCGGGTGACGAGGGCAGGCTGGCTCGGGCGGGGGTAGCACAGCCGCCAGGTCCCACGTTGAAGGCTGTTTTTCTTGATCCTTTTTGTAAAAGGGAGGGCAGTATTGAAGAAAAGGGAGAGAAGAGCAAGCCGAGGCAGGGGTGATCTCCCGGGCTCCAGTCATCCTCCCCCCTCGGCTTCAAAGCGCGGGGATTACAGGTGTGAGCACCTGCACCTGGTCTGTGAGCGAATCTTAAGAGGGTGAGGGGTTACCACCACAGTTGCTTCTGCTGAAGGAGAGGAAGAGGAAGACAAAGAAGGGGAGGGAGAAGGATTTGGTCAGCGAGGCAACAAGTAGCAACAACGCCTCCCTGTCAGTCAACAGCAGCTCGTGGTGACACACACTGTTCCTCCAGCACTGGAGGCCCCAAACACTGTAAAAATCATCCCTCCATTACATAGCAGAGCACATTTACACGGCCAAGCTGAGGAGGAGGTCTTAATAAGTCCAATTTTACAAACAGGGGAAGCTCTGAATGAAAGGGTCAACGATTTGTCACGACTGCTTAAAAGGCGGACAGGACTTGGGCGTCAACAGAATCCAGGAAGCCCCGCCCCCTACGGAACCCTTAAACTCTTGCTGTGCGGGGTGCCCAAACACACATTAAGTACATCTTCTGCATGAAACTTCTATGACTCTGCAGACGTGCACCACCCCAGGGCTGGGAAGCTGCTGGATGTCTGTCTGTCACAACCACATTGAGAATTGTCCAAAGACACCAATGGGTTGGGTAGCCACCCACACTTGAGTTCCAAATAAGACAGCCTTGTTTTATGATTTCCTCGGATGGACCTGAATGGACCATCCCTGTCCAGAACCTAATATCCTCTTTCATATAAGTGTGAAGTATAATTTTTGAAGTGTAAAGAATTTGGTGGCCGTTTCAGTGGAGATGCATTTCATAAGCTCTTCATCTTCATGTGAGTGCCTGGCAGAAGGTCTAGTACTTAGCAGAACCTCGGGACATCAAGAAAATTGAACCACGGCACGCATCATTTTCTGTCATTTTTACTAAACATCAAAATTACGACTTGCTCTATTTCCTTTGTTTCTGTAGTAGAAAGTGAGGGGGTGAAAATATTTCCATAACAATATTCTGCAAAGAAAAACAGTAAACCTAAACAATTTTAATCACATCCTGTAATATGGGTCATTATGAAGATTATTTAAAAAAAAACAGCAACACGAAACAGACAAAACCTTAAACATTTAAAATGTAAACTGGTTAAGAAGGTGCCTTTTTCAAGTGGGAAAGGATTTGCTATGGAAAACTTTTTAGGCGGTTTTGTTATCAAAAAGAGTAGATAGATAACATTGCTAAGAATCAACATCTTACCTTAAATACTTCCATTGGAAGAGGAAATTTGGCAGCATCAGTAAGGGATTTTTCCAGAGTACATTTCCATTCAGAGGCCATCTTCAAAGGATAGATTTCTGTATCAACGGCAAATCACATAAGAGTTTAAGGACTAACAATGTTCTGCCCGCTGGTTCTTTACTGCATGTTAATTCCCAAGTTTTCCTGATACCTCAACATGATCAGTGACCGTCAGAGTTCACACCCAGAACCCACCACCCGCTGGCAGGATGTTCTGAAATTAAATAGCAACCTGGGATTCTGCTGTCAGAAATGAAGAATTAACTTAACAGAGCTCTTCTTCAGGGAACATTTGTATGCATTTAGTTGGCATTCTGTAAGTAATTTAATGGTATTAATCACATTAGCAAAAACCTTCAGTCATCCATGGGCCAAAATTCCACATATCACCTAGGAAAGCAATGCCCACTGATGAGGAACTTATTATCTGATACATTTCTAAACTACAAATGACTCTAGTCTGGCATTTGCAGTTATTACAACATATTTTTCACTAAATCTCTAAGCTCTCATCTGCTAAAAATAGTCCCTGTAAGTCAGAAAATTATTAAAAGGTAAATTAAAATTTACCAACCAAGTTTAATATTTACACTTGAAATGTTGCTTAACACACCACATGTTGCCCATATTTTTCCCCAGGTGGTGGGGGTGGGGGATAAGATTTACAGATGGAGGTTACACAGTCTGAATGCAAAATTAAAAGGGAAAAAAAAAAGCACTGAGCACTGTTTTTACCTATTGCTGAAACTCCAAGAGAATTTTACGGCCTGATCTCAACAGATTTAAGACCTTATCAAAGTAGGATTTGCAGAAGCCCTCACTGGAAGGAGATATGTTTATGCCTTCACTATATCAACCCAGGCTACTTCAGACAGACGCTTAGGATATGAATATGAAATTAAGCACAGTTAAAAGGCAACATTAAACCTTTGGGACTGTATTTTTAATTTCTTACATGTCTGATTTTTAGCATGAAGCCATCTATTTTGATCCTCATAGCTTTTGAACTCACCTTGAGCTTTAAGCCCCTGTTTCAGCGGTTTATTGAGTCCTAATCACGGTTAGGGTGAGATCCTGTCAGAACTAGCCAGGCCATCAGCGCACTGCCCGACGTCATTGTCACTTACTCAAAGACACGCAAAGGGTAGTTCACCACAACACATCCTCTGCGTGTGTGTGCACTGTCTATGTCCTTCCTAGTGTTTGTGTCCACTCTTCCACCTCTGCTGAACTTTTTGTTTCCAGTCTGGCCTTTCTAAATAGTAGCTCACGTAACTGGGAGCGCACGGTGGGACCTTAACACACACTTCTGCCGAGACTGAAAGAATGGAGCCTCTGATGTCCATAGTGAGAAGGGGGCACTCAGGAAGACATTGCTTATCACAGGGTCCCCAAAAGTAGGTCCAGGGACCAGTTCACAGCGTCCTGCAAGCTGTTCCATGAGGGTGAGGGGGATACCTGTGCACTCGTGCAAACTCACGGGCACTGCATCCAAACCAGACAGAGAGACAGGGGCCACTCAGGGGAGCCTGGAGAGCAAAGCCCTGAGGACACCAATGCAGGGTCAGGAGAGAAACTACCAACAACAGGCTGGACCTTGTAATGGACAGTGACCATAAACACATGCCCCTTCCCAGCAAGCCGGGTAGGCAGACAGGAGTTCAACCTGGGCATGGTAGGAAAAGGACCCACTCACAGAAAACAATGGGGACTTCCAAAGCCTGCACCAAAGAAGGGATTCAAAGACCCAACAGGTGCGGGAAGAAAAGCATGATCTGCCTGGCCGGCACCTTTGGCCTCTTGGTTTGGAACTGGGACTAGTTATACCCCTGACCCTTGATGGTTGTCTCTGAGTGGGGGAGGGATGCCCTGAGTCAGAGGAGATGGTAAAAGAATGGTCATAAAACACCTTCACTGGGAGGCCAAGGTGGGTGGATCACTTGAGGTCAGGAGTTCAAGACCAGCCAAGCCAATATGGTGAAACCCCATTTCTAATAAAAAAAAACAAAAATTAGCCGAGTGTGGTGGCAGGTGCTTGTAATCCCAGCTACTCAGGAGGCTGAGGCAGGAGAATTGCTTGAACCCAGAAGGCAGAGGTTGCAGTGAGCTGAGATTGTGCCACTGCACTTCAACCTGATTGAGACTTTGTCTTAAACAAACAAACGAAAACAAAAAACCACCTTAAGGCAAGGAGGAATGGAAATCCAACATGACCAGGGTTAGACCCAAGCTATGAGAACTAATCGAGGGGATGTCCAGACCCCAGTGGGGTTGCCGGAGCCCTCCAGACTCTGCACGTTGGCCCAGGAAGGCGGACCAAACAAGTCATCCCTGAAAAACAAACCCCTCTGTCCAACAGATGCCATCTGTCTTCCTCCACACCAGAGACAAAGGTAACAAGAAGTCCAGGTGCCAGGTGGGCCCCGCCTCTGTCCTACAACCCAAAGGTTCTCTGTTTTCTTTCTGATGCTGTTAAATCCCAGAATGAACCCAGCCCACAGCAAGGCAGACTTCTTTCGTGAAAAGGTAAAAATCAGCTGCAGTTTTGACAGCCTGACAACAACCAGCAAGAGAACAACACTGCCCGTGTGCATTCTGTGAGACATGGGCACGCTGGCCATACTGGCAAGTTAATGGACAAGAAACAAGACCCTTCAAAGAACATAGACCACTTTCTTAAAATGATCATGTTGCAGATAACTGAATAAAGTATATCATGCCAGTTTCTGCTTCAGGGAAGGCCGTGAGCAATTAAGATATGTTCCGATTTCTCTGTAACTAGAAGGCTACTAGAAAAACAAGGCCATCTCTCTTTGTTGCAAGGGTTTGGTGGGGCATTTCCTAGTAAGTGCCGCAGGAAGCAGGAATGCATAACGTAATTATGAATAAACAAAGGCCTTGACAGACAACCCTTCTTTTATGCACCTGCCTCCAAAAAACTTCCATTTCCTCCTGCTCCTCGAGGTCATACCCAGCGAAGAAAGATGAATCTATGTTGTGAAGAGATGGTAAACATCAGAAAGTGTTATGGACTAAATGTTTGTGTCTCTCCAGAATTCTTACCTGAAGCCCTAACTCCAAAGGGATATATTTGGGAGGTGATTAGAGTTGGACGGGGTCATGAGGGTGGGGCCCTCAAAGAGATGTGTCCTTATAAGAAGAGACACCAGAGTTCCCTCTTGATCTACTACATGAGGACACAGCCAGAAGGCAGCTGTCTGCAAACCAGGAAGTGAGCCCTCCCCAGACCCCAACTACACTGGCACCCTGATCTCACACTTCCAGCCTTCAGAACTCTGAGAAATGTCTTCTGTGTAAGCCACAAAGCCTGTGGCATTTTGTTGTGGCAGCTTGAACAAATTAACAAAGTCCAACTCTTAGTCCAACTAGCTTTTGGACTAATAGTTCAGGCAGAAAGTATTTAAGTTGATTCAGAAACTTCCTGACATCAAGAACTATTTAAAACAAGCACTTCAAAAAAGATAAAAAAAATTTTGAAGGAAAAAAACAAGGGAATAAATTCTATAAATAGAGAGGAAAAGAAACCTCAAAAAGTTTCATCTTTTTAGCATCTGCAGGAATATCTACAAGTCTATCTTATTTTCTAAACATCCAGAAATAGGAGAGCAGGTAGGGTTTCTTAAATGACCCTAACCTCAATGACCTACTTACACTCCTTGAAAAACCAAAGTATAACCTCTTAAGACTCAGATCACGGATTGAATCCCTAGAAAAGGCCCATCTCTTAATATGCGTTGCACCACTCAGCAGCCCAGCAAGGTCTCCGTATCCCCACTGTACAGCATAAGGTGGCTTCTTTCCCTTCCTCTTTCCCCAAGCACCAGAATGCGATTTCCTCTGATTCTGGCAGAAACAGAAAGGCTCAAAGGCCTTATGTTTCTCAGAGGCAGAGAGTGTAAAGTCTGATCTCTTTTCCCAGGTTTTTGAAAGCTAACTTCCTAGCTACTTTCAATGACCCATTTCTCTTCTCTTTGTGCTAAACAGTTGAAAAATACTGTGCGCTTTAAAGAGTAAAACAAGGGCCTCATGGAGTGGATCATGCCTATAGTCCCAACACTTCGAGAGGCTGAGGTGGGCAGATCACCTAAGCTCAGGAGTTCAAACCCAGCCTGAGAAACATGGTGAGATCCCATCTCTACAAAACAAGAAATTAAAAAGTTAGCCAGGGATGGTGGCACATGCCCGTAGTTCTGGCCACTTGGGAGGCTGAGGTGGGAGGATCACTTGAGCCTGGGAAGTTCAGGCTGCAGTGAGACAAGAGCACATCACTGCACTCCAGCCTGGGAGACAGAGTCCCTACTTCAAAAAATAAAATAAAAAGGAAGTAAAAGTAAAGGGAGATGATTTTTCACAATGGTGGTAGAAAGAGCTCACAGGGCAAGATGCTCATCACTGCGCCACACCTCCCTCCCACTGGACTTCTCCCCACCAGTCGTGGAAGCAGAACACATGGTGTTCGGGAAAAGGAGAAAACCAGCTTACTATTTTCTATGCAGATATGAAGTTTTATTCTCAGCTATATTTCAGTTAAGGAAGTGGTGCTACCATGTAAGTTACACAAGTCATCATGGGACTTAAAATCAATTTATACAAACCCGAAGTACTAGAATCTGTCCCCGTGCGGGCAACAGGGGTAATAATAGCCTCTCTTCCCGGGGATGCTGTGCAGCTGAGTGATGTTAACAGAATCCAGTTTCTATCTTGAAACTACTGTGTTTGAGGAGCTCAAAGTCACACTTTTGAGTGTCTTTCCACTTTTTGTTTTCTTCTGCCTGACCATAACCTTTCCTGCAGATGATTTAAATGTTGGGGAAGTAAGTTCTTGATGATGAATGTCTTTTCCAGAATATTTTTTTTTTCTTTTCACAGGGTCTCACTCTGTCTTACAGGCTGGAGTGCAGAGGAGTGATCTCTGCTCACTGCAGCCTCTCCTTCCCAGGCTCAAGTGATCCTCCCACCTCAGCCCCCTAAGTAGCTGAGACCTCAGGTGCATGCCACCATGTCCAGCTAGTTTTTTCTATTTTTTGCAGAGATGGGGTTTCACTATGTTGCCCCAGCTGGTCTCAAACTCCTAAGCTCAAGCAATCCACCCACTTGGCCTCCCAAATTGTTGGGATTACAGGCGTGAGCCATCATGCCCTGTCTGTTTCAGAAGCTTCAGAGGCCCCCAAGAACTCTTCAGTTAAATGAACTCATTTCCAGAAAATGCTTAGACACATAAACACAATTTATTTGTATATTATAAAGACCCCAAATTATCTAAAGAGGGAGACAGCTCATAAGCAAATATTCCCTAAGTTTCCACGAAGGCATATCCCATTCCTGCTTTCCCATTACTTCTCAGGAAAGAAATATCACAGAGAACAGAAGAAGCCACTAGTAATCCTTTGCTTTGCTACAAATTTGTACACTGGCAAGTAGATATATATTTAGGAGCAAGTAGATATTGCTCCTAAAATTTATAAAGCAATTAGATACTAAGCGGAGATTTATACACACAACTTTACCCACAAAGTAAATTTTTCCTGCTAGCTTATGAATCCCAGGGACAAGCCGGGCTTACATCCTTCCTCACAATATGACAGGCTCTTTGTTTGTCATCAGAGTCAAAAATCACTCAGGATAGAGATGGAGGTGTTGGCTGCTTCTCAAAACTGTGACAAAAATAACACTAATAAAATACCACGTTACACATCTCTATGCCTGTCAAACTTAACACAAATGCAAACACACAGGACACAGGACCAGGAAGCGTATTCAATTAAAGCTTCTGAGTGACAGAAAAGATAACTCCTCTCCTTCATGTACTCAGGGCTAACATCAGCAACTAATATGGGTGGAAATTCTCTGGTGATTTAAGTAAAGCCAAAGAGCCACGTCCTTATTCCGGATACACCTACAAAACTGACCAGAATGAAGATTACCAATTTCTGAAAAAATACATATTTCTTCCTTGGCATCTCTAATTCTACAGGAATCCAGTATTTCTGTTCTGCAGTTTCCCATTCAAAGGCTAGTAAGAAGAGGTAGTAAGGGGCGTGGGGTGTGAGGGGCCCAGCACCTGGGAATCTGAATTGCACTGCCTAAAACAGGGGACCCTGGACAACTAGCTGAACGCCAATCTTTATTTTCTCTGCTGTGAAGTGAAATTCACAACAAACATGCATCAATTTTTTAGAATCAAAATAAACAATGTACCAGATGTAAAATCACCTGGCACATGGTAAACATTCAAAAATAGTTATTTTTTAAATACCGAGATTTTTTAACTAGGTAGGTATGGCAGAGAGTGTAAGGCACTATTCTATCCAATTAAGCCTCTAAAAAGCCATCTGACAGTGAATTTGAAGCTAACAAAAATCTTACATGCCAGGAGAAATAGCCTGATCATCTATTTACTCAGTGCTGTTTCTTGGTCAGATTGGATTGTGGTTTGGCTATTTAGATGGATGGATGGATGGATGGATGGATGGATGGATGGATGAATACATGAATGCTGGATGGGTAGGTGGATGAATGGATAGATGAATGGATACATAGATAAAGGGATATATGGGTGGATGAGTAGGTGAATGGACAGACAGAGAAATGGGTACACAGATGGACAGAGATCCTGGAATCTACTTAGAAGACTATCAAAATTCCTAAAGAAAAGCATGGAGAATATGCTCAAGTCCTAATCTACTGTGTTTTTCCTTTCTGAAACAGTGATTCCAAAGGAACTAGATCAACTTCCTTCCCTAAGGCCTCCAACATTACTCTCTCCTTTGAGAACGCTATTGATTGAAGTCTTAGGTTTCAGTCACTATAGAAAGCACTGTGAAGTTAAGTGCTTGATATTCACATACTCAGATATAAAAGATACCACAGAGCTAATACATTTTCTAGAAACACATCCAGGAAAACATCACATCTTTTTCTACAATACTTTACAGCAGCAAAAGGTTTGGCCCTTACCTGAAGGTGGGTCCATTCTGTATTTATTCTCTTGACACCAACCAACTGGTCGAAGTCTGTAATCCAAGTAAAACAACCACTGGTCATAGGATTCAGTGTCCTCCAATCCCACATAGCGAAGGCGTAATCTTCCTCCAACATTTTCAATCACACTAACTATCCAGTACTGAAAAGGGCTCTGGGAATCCTGAAGTTCTATTAAGGAACCAACTGTAATGAGGTCTATAGGGCCTTTCCCTCGCAGAGGCTGTTTAAACAGAAGCAAAACTCCTTATTTTAAACTTTATTTTAAGGTTCTCATGGAAACAGATGACAGCAGAAGATAATATTTTTTCACACCATCATCCAAGGTACTGGCGAACAGTCTGGCGTTCCCTCCACCCCATCCTCACCCCACCCCGCCCCTTCCCTTCCCTCCCTCCCACACATTCATGTACCCCATTCCATATCCAACAATAAAAAATTCACAAGTCAATAGAAAGTAACAATTTGTGCTAAGTTCTCACCAAACAAATCACCCTTCCCAGATAAAATTGCATTTGTTAAGAATCAATATGCTTTTAAGAAGAGTTCTGCCCAAATTTGCCTGGACCTAGAAAATACGTGGTGGCCAACTGTCTACTTTCCCAACAGACAGATATTTCCAATACGGGGTACTCAACGTGTACCATGACTTTTTCCCATTCATCTTACTCTAATGGCGACTACTCTAATAACCAAATGCTCTCAAACTTTGATTATGTAATGAAAGCAAGAGTGTGTGTTGATGACACGTCTAACACACAGTAATAATCAGCTGAATTAGACTCCTATGTGAAGTTGTTTTTACAATTAACCTGATAATTGGTTTAGAGCATTTATAATTATTGCCCCTTCTAAGAAACGGTCTTAGCACATGATAGCATATGAAAAGGGTGTTTGTTCAGCCAGCTTTGTAGACAAATATGTTTTAGAAAATCAACACAGTGAGACAATTTATCCTTTTGAAAGGATGAACTATCATCCTTTTGATTTGTTAATGAAAAATTAAAATAGCAGCTATGAAGATATATAACAAATACATCAGGCAAAATCTTCATGAAACAAAACCCATTAACTATATTAGACAATGACTTTCTAAAGTGTCAATATCATTTAAGAAAAGAGGGAAAGTTTAAGGTTAGGAGAATACGATACTGTCGAATTCCACACCTTATTACTTGTTATTCACCATTTTCCCCTTTTTAGGGGCATTCTTAAGAAAAACAGACTAGGCATTTCAATAATTATTTATGATACTATGCCTTTCTCTTCCTGTTCTATTATGTAAATAAATACAAAATACAAATTCTAAAATTTTTCATCATAAAATTATTTTCAAATAAACCATCAAGATTTAAGATTAAGCTATTTTTTCTTCAACATATTAAAATTTCCTTGGCTACGCTGAAATACGATCTGTCATTTCTCCCCTTGTTTTTACATGGAAAGTTAATTCAATTATTGGTTAACATGTATATGTTCAAATCTTGGGGTTATGCATCCAAAATAGAACATTTAATGGAACCACTTATCAAGGTACTCCATGAGACTATATTAGCACATACATAATCTTGTCACCTTTCAAAACAGTTATTCTACAGGATTTAATTTATATTCACTCAGACAGGAAAGAGGTTTAAACATATAGGATAGTGGGAAGATATCCTAGTATAATGTGATTTAAAAATTGGATTCACATGGAGCAAATTTTCCATTTGCTGATGGCATCACAGGGGAAGTTTCATCAATGCCATTCAAATCAGTCACCTAAGTAATTCAGGACAAAACAGGAAGGGAGGCTATTTGGATGGCAGTGTCTGCGGAAAGCACGCATCTGCAGAAGGATATATGCAAAGGTGCTGTCAGGTCTGAGCTCACGCAACTCGGGTGCTTCAGAGATAGATTAGATGTATAACAACAATACATACACCTTCCAGGAGGTTGGCAGGTGCTGTCCTCGAACCGGTCAAGTCACGTATGAGAAATTCTGTCCAGTCTGTGTACTTCTCTTTGATTGCTGGCAAGACAAAGGAGAAAAAAACACTTCAACACAGCAGCCAAGTATTCAGTCAACTTAAAACCACGGCAGTTCTCTCTATGTAAGTTTGATTTCAATATTTTCCTTGACTTTCATCATCATGCTTAAGTAAATAATGAAACTGAGACCAAAGATGCATCTGTAAGTGGTGACTTGGCACCTACCACGTGCCTGGGCACCAAGGAGATGAAAGAATCTGAAGTCTTACGACCTACTTAGAAACATCTCACGAACCACAAAGAAATTAGAAAGTATACAATTTAGGAGGTTCCAAAAAGAAAGAGAGAGACCAGTGAGGCTAGGGACATCAGAGAAGGGTTTTCAGGTGGGAAAATCAAGCCAGGCCCCAAATGACATGAAAGGTTTATACAGGTGCAGAAGAAGAAGGAATCTGCAGACAGAGAAATGGGCACACACTAACAAGAGGGGTGGATGGAAGGTGAAAGTAGTCCCCCTTCGTATCCGTGGGTTCCCCATCCCTGGGTTCAATTCAACCGAGCATCAAAAATACATGAAAGAAATGCATCTTTACTGAACATGTACACTTTTTTCCTTGTTATCATTCTCCAAAAACTCCAGGATAACAACTATTTACATAGCATCTACACGTAGTAGTTACTATAAGTAATCCAGAGATGATTTAAGGTATGCAGGAGGATGTGCATAGGTTATATGTGAACTACACTATTTTCTGTTCAAGACTTGAGCATCTGCAAAATCTGGTATCCTTCGGGGTCCTACAGTCAATTCCCCAAGGGATCCCAAGGGACGACTGCACAGTGAACGGCCAGGCTAAGGCACACTCCATGCACACAGCCCTGGGAAATAATATTTACTGGTAGGAATAAACTATGGACAGCTTGGGAAATCAACACATACATTTAAGAAACAGGAAATCTCTTTATAAAATGATAAAGAGTATAATAGTATAAGGGTTTGAATGGCAAGAAAAGAGTCTAAAAGCAGGGAAACTGAGGCTGCTTCAGTTATCCAAGTAGAAACGTGATAGGACCCAAAACACGGGTGACAACCCTGTGAACAAGGAAGAAATGCATTTGAGGCATCTTTTGAAAAAGAAATATCAGGCCATGTTGGGCAACATTCTACAAGCTTGGAACCCAAGACCTGAGAAAAGCATACCTTCTTGGCGTGTCTCCCAAGCTACAGATCTCCGAAGGCTCCACTGGGATGTACCCACATCCCTGAGGGGCCTGAGCCTTCCCAGTGAACCAAGGGATGGATTTGCAAAGTCAGCAGAAATGACAGCAAGACCCTAGCCCCAGATTCCCACCCACCACAGCCGGCTCTGCATGTGGGCAGCCCAGGATCCAGCCAGGACTTCACTCTGTCCCCATTAGGGGTTCAAGGCTCCAGTAGCTTGTGCATTCTTTAGGCTCTTCAAAGGCTTGATGCAACCCTTCTGGCTCAAACCTAAAGCAATGAAATTACTACAAAAGGGAATCTGGCCATAAGTAGGTGGGGACAGATCTGGGCACCAGGGTGGGTTCCTCCATCACTGGATGTATGACTTTGAACAATTTACTCAATTTCTCTTAGACTCTTTCCTAGCCAGTCAAAGGGTGTCACGTCGCTAACAATATTTTGTTTTTAAGGGGTGTTCTGAGGACTAAAGGAGAGACCTATGCAAATAAAATATAACCATCCCAGGCACATACCAAGCAATTTATAAAATTAGCTCTTGCTTTATTACAAACATGTACTAAATTATTACATACATCTTTGTAGTCTGCTGGTTATTGATTATTCATACCTATGATATCCAGATTGAAACTTCCAACAAGCTCTGGCAGAACTGCCAGTAGAATGGAGACCAACATATAAGCTAAGCAGTGGCCAGACCTGCTGCTTAATCACTAACGTGCGTCTTAGCCAACAACCACCCACATCCAAGGACGATCATCAGACCAGCAGCAAAACCAACACGCACGGAACTCAGGCAAACAAGGCCGAGTCCGGCTTTACCTTACATGGCAACGTCCCAGCCCCACCCCACTTATAATAAAGAATAACTCATCTGTTTGTCTGCTTTTATCACTAGATTTTTTTTTCTCAAATAAAATGCTACCTTCCTTATTTCAGACACACATACTCACACAGAAATACAAATATAAAAATATTGTACGCTCAGCACTTTGGGAGGCTGAGCATAAAACCATGTTCTTGTGCTACCTTCCGTCATTATAAACGTAGTCACCATTTTTCCAATGCTGCACCCTTTTTAAAAGTGGCCCTCTTATGGCTAGGGTCACTGAGACAAAAGCAAAGACAAAAAAGCCAAATGAACTCAAATCCGTACTCACCTTATGCTCTGCGAACTTTCATTTACTGTCTCCTCCTAGCAATGGTAACACATGCTTCTTCTTCACTAACTCTTGCCCAAGTTCACAGAAAAAGCTAGAAACAGCCTCAACCCTCCAAGTGTTCAGAGCCCAATCTCACATGGAATCTTTCCACTAGAATCTCTGATTCTCCAAAGCTTTTGCAAACAGATAAATCAGTAATTTAAGTTGCAGGCATGACGGAGACGTGAAAACGACTCACATAAGTTTCAAGATTAGAACAGAATATACAACTGTATGCCATAAATATGCATTTCATATCTCATTAGGAAAGAATAACAATTATTATAATCCAGAGATAAACAGTCCTGTGCCTAACACAAGACATCTATAACCACTCCTGGAAGAAAGTTCTATTTTCCACAGGGTTCTTTCTAACATGCATATGATTCAAGTTAACATTTAAGTGAAATTTTTTTAAATAGGCAAGGACCCTATGAAGTCACAGCACAATGCTGAAATTTAAATTGTCAAAGTCACAGCAAAGGAACACTAGGGACAGCTCTGGCATTTACATCTTGCAAGCCTCAAGTTCCAGAGGTCCCATAGCTTTCCTTTATATGTGTCTGCACAAGACTCAAGCATCCTTTTATGAGCCACAGAGTATCTAAATGACTTGCTCTCCATAGAGGATGTATCTATAAAGCCATAAAAGTATATAGATCACCTTAGGTTAAAAAAAATAGAAAAGAAACATTCTCAAGAATCTTGTTAATTTTACAAGAAAAACTATTTCAGTCAACATTTAGCTCTCAGCTCTAAATTTTCAAATGTACCATAAACCTATTACAATAAATACTGCCGTAACATAAAAACTAAGTATAATCAATTTACAATTCCTAGTCCACGGAGTTACTCTAACCACTGATTAATTGAGTTAAATTCTGGTACCATAAAAGTTGTCTTGTGATTCCTTAGAATTCACTGCAATGAAAACTAATTGGCATTGCTCAGTGTGATGATTTAAACTTCTAAGTAGAAATTTTAAAAATATAAACTTTTGGCTGGGCGCGGTGGCTCAAGCCTGTAATCCCAGCACTTTGGGAGGCCGAGGCGGGTGGATCACAAGGTCAAGAGATCGAGACCATCCTGGTCAACATGGTGAAACCCCGTCTCTACTAAAAATACAAAACATTAGCTGGGCATGGTGGCGCGTGCCTGTAATCCCAGCTACTCAGGAGGCTGAGGCAGGAGAATTGCCTGAACCCAGGAGGCGGAGGTTGCGGTGAGCCGAGATCGCGCCATTGCACTCCAGCCTGGGTAACAAGAGTGAAACTCCGTCTCAAAAAAAAAAAAAAAAAAAAAAAAAAATATATATATATATATATATGTATATATATATATATATATATAAACTTTTATTCTGCAGGACATTTCTCTTTCAAGACTCCAACACTTTGGGAGGCTGAGACAGGAGGATAACTTGAGCCCAGGAGTTTGAGAACGTCCTGGGTAACAAAGCAAGACCCCATCTCTACGAAGTTTTTTTCTTTTAATTAGCTGGGCATGATGGTGGGTGGCTGTAGTCCCAGCTGCTTGGGAGGCTGAGGCAGGAGAATGGAGTTTGAAGCTGGAGTGGGCTATGATCACAACCCTGCACTGCAGCCTGGGTAACAGAGTAAGACCATGTCTCTAAAAAAAGAAAAAGCAAGCAAGCTATCTATAAATTGAGTCCCAGATAAAGGGAGAAGATTAGCATCACTTTTTCAGAATTTGGGAAAACACCACTAATGTTGGATTTCAAGCCCCATCAAGTGCACACCCACATAGAGTCTGACGCCGGGCCACCTGTCAGGGATGTGATCGGTGTAGATCGGGCTGTGGGTACAAAGCCCTCCATCAGGGCTGCCCATGCAGGCAGATCACGAACAAGGAGACCGCTGCTGGGATCAGGATGACAAACACTGCCAGCCCAGGCTCCTCAATGCATTCCCAGGTCACAGCAGAACAGACAGGTCTGTTCTGAGAGGTCTGAGACCAGCCACACTGTGCCTACCCATTCTCTGAGAGATGGGGAGAGTAATTACAAAGAGAAAGGTCATTTTCACTCATACCCACTCTAGCCCACAGGAAGGGAGTTTGAGTACCATCCTTACCTGCCAGCGGTTAGACACACAGGATATTTCATTTTTCCTTGTCTTCCTGGGCAATTTTCTGAACTTACTTCCAATCAACCCTTCTTTGAATTACCTGTGGATCACAGTTTTGGTTTGCATTGGTTCTTTCTTGATTCTAGTAGCTCCTTCCTTCTAAAAGTTGTGTTTTTTGTTTTCTGGTTTTTTATTTTTTTTTTTTTTAACAAGATGCCCTTTGCAAAACCTTTCAATATGGAAATGAGAGTTGTGTCTCCTCCCCTATTTCCTGGGTCCTCTCTGCTTCCTGGGGGCTGTTATTTCTTCATCTCATCCTGCCCTCTTTGATCAGGAGCTTTCCTGGAGTATCTGGGCAACCATGGTCATGCATCATACTTAAATACGAGACAAAAGAAACCCTAGAGAGGCCGGTGTCCTGGGCAGAGGGGTCTGACTCAGAGAGTGGGCATTAGGGTGGTTCCCCTTCTAAGAAGCTGCCTTCCAAACTAGCATCAGGGAGTCTCCCCAGACAATTCTGCACATTTCTTCAGAGATGAGGCAGAGGGATAAATATCTGGTTTCCAGTCCTTGTTTGTATCCATGGAACTGTGTGATTTTCAGCCCCACATGGGACTCCCACCCACCTGGCATTCAGAGTTTCCAAGGTGAGACTCCCCAGCTGCAGCCCCCACAATAATTTAGCAGTCATGGAGCCTCATCAGCCTCCAGGCTGCCGGAAACATTATGAAATTCCTTTTCCATGCTGGTGGCCTTTCAGTTCTTTATGTTGTTGATCTATGTATTTTTTATTTTTTCACTATCCTTTTAATGGGATCTCTGCAGGAAAAGGAGATAAATAAAAGTGCTTAATATCCACTGAAACTCCTCCCAGCTCACAGGAGAATCAATCCTTCTCAACAGGATGTCAGGTAGCAGCCTTTGACTTCTCAGAAGATTTCTTTAACACTGATTTTGCTAAAGAAAAAAAGGAGGCAACAGTAGACCTTGAATGATAAATGGAAGCACTTGCTCTTGCTATTAAGGAAAAGAGACGACAGAGTTCTTTCCCTTGGAGATTTGTAAGGGAGAACCTACATTAACTTTTCATATAGGGTTCAAATTAGATAGTTCCTACAAACAAAAGGATAGATCATAAAGTGATTCAACAGGATTGACAAGCTCCTAGTGCTACCTAGTACTAGGGATCGAACATAGAGATGAGCATTGCGGTCTTTAATAATGAACGTAACCCAGATGAAGATATAAGTTATGAAGAATGTCAGAAAAATTACACACTTACATACTCGCACACTCCTTAGTACCTGACATATAGAAACTGTTGGAGGGCAAGTTTCATTTCAACCTTTCAAGACTCTTTCAGTTGTAAAAATACACTTGTATGATTACGAAACGAAATAGCATCATTTCGTTATAAAGAATAGATTCAGGTGGGGTGCAGTGGCTCAGGCCTGTAATCCCAGCACTGTGGGAGGCCAAGGTGAATGGATCCTCTGAGGCCAGGAGTTCAAGACCAGCCTGGCCAACATGGTGAAACCCCGTCTCTACTAAAAATACAAAAATTAGCTGGGTATGGTGGCAGACACCTGTAGTCCCAGCTATTCGGGAGGCTGAGGCAGGAGAATTGCTTGAACCTGGGAGGTTGCAGTGAGCCGAGATCACGCCACTGCACTCCAGCCTGGGCAACACAGCAAGACTTCCTCTCAAAAAAAAAAAAAAAAGGATTTGCATTATATGAGAGTTATTGGAAGCAAATGACACAGCTCTCTCACAGTGATGACATTAGAATAAAAGGAGAAAAATGAGTGGTGTGAAACTTGGAATAATAATCCACATCATTTGAATATTTAATATTTATGCCACAATCATTAAAACTGTAGACAGGCTTTTTGCAGACCCTTAAAAAGGCCTTTGTTACCTAACATTCTTTCTATTCATTGCTTAGGATTTTCTTCATTGCTGGAAATGATCCCAGGAGAGTTGCCATTGGCTGATAATTAGCTAACTACAGAGTCATACATGATTTTTAATGACAACTACTTCATAGGCAACCATGAGATTTAAATGAGAAAATAAATATAAACTTCCTAACACTTTTTACCCAGGTACAGTATCAATCCTGGTAAAAAGTAAGTATTCTTTGATAATGCAATGTCACCAAAGAATATTTAGGATTCATTCAAATGTTTATTTAATACTGTTTGTTTGGAGAAAGGCATATATAAAATACTTTAAACTGATGTTTTCATTATAGGCTAATAATTTCCTACAATCCCAAATTAACTTCTAGAGGCCATGTGCAGAGTCTCACACCTGTAATCCCAGAACTGGGAAGTCAAGGTGGGAGAATGGCTTGAGCACAGGAGTCTGAGACCAGCCTCGGCAACATAGTGAGACTCTGTCTCTTATT